TTTTTAGACCGATGAGCTTTGTAAAAATCGATGCGTTTCAGAAAGGTGGGGCATAGAGGAGAAACAATAATGTACAGTATGTGGAAAATAATGTGTTTTTTGAAACTTAAACCGCATAAACACATTTCATTACACCAAATACACAAAATAATGTTCTTTTTAGCAGCATCATATGACCCCTTTAATCATTTGAGAAATAAGTACTGTATAGCAATAATAATTTGAACGGTTTGATATGATATGAGCTAACCGATCTTAAGATTTAATCACCATTGGTAGCGAGATTTATGGTAATGATTTTTTCCTCAGTTGGTCAGAACAAACGTGGCAGACTTGTTACTTACTTGTTCAGATGGCAATATACGGTGAAAATTCTTATTTGGGTCATATTCCAAGATGTAGGCTATAATCTGTGATTGCGAAATACAGTAAATATCCACACCAGTGCAGTGACTGACTGCCACACATACTCCTCAGAACATTAGATTCATCCGCGCTGGAGCCGTGCCGACTCACAACCCACGCGAGGAAGATAATTCTGCACACAGCTGCAATTCCAGGTTTTCAAACAGAGATGGCGACAAAGAGGCAAAACTTACAGACTGCAGCTTTAAAATCACCTTTTATTTAGGCTACGAAAAGCAGGTGTGTTTAACATCAATTAGTTCTAGCCATGTAAATGTACAAAAAAGTACAAAAAGTATCCTTAAAAGAGGGCAGTTTACATTAGTGAGTAGTTACCCACCATTGGGAACCCCTGGCTAAAAAATATCTGAATACATACATGATTCAGAAGAACAGTCAGAATAGAAGTGTCAAGTAAATACTTTAGCTAGCAGACATAACAAAACATCTTTGTGCTGTAAATAAAATTCAATTAAATCCTGTAAAATCAAATAAAACAGGAAATCAAAAAGGATGATTCACTGAGGTCAAAAGAATCATTTTGCCACTGCAGGGATACAGCACAATTTGATTTGATTATTAACACAGGAATTTTTTTTGTAAAACAATCGAACAATATAGTACAACAACATATGTTTGTACAACCGCAGAACAAAAATACACACCATCTGAGGCCTTGACAGTGGTTGTCCTTGTTGCAATCAAGGTTTTGGTGGTGGTCATAATAATTCAATGGTTCTTCACCGATCATGTCGATCATCATGCTAACCTTAATGATTTTATCTATAGCGGTCTCTGAGGTCATCACGGCTACCTTTGCGTTCATCGTAGCGGTCTCTGAGGTCATCACGGCTACCTTTGCGTTCATCGTAGCGGTCTCTGAGGTCATCACGGCTACCTCTGCGGTCATCATGGTGATTTTTGAGGTCATCACTGCGAGCTTTGTCAGGTCTCTCTTCAGTGATCGCCATGTTGTCTGTATTCCCGTCCTCAGTATTTTCTAGTGGTGGTTTGTCATGGTATTCCACAATTGGATTTCTGAGGCAATAAATAAACATACAGATAAATAAAACTAAAACACATCCTAACAACCAGGACCCACCACCCAAAAACCAACAATCACTTCATGTATTACTTTGAAAGCATAAATGAAGACCTACTCCATTTCATAGTTTTTTTGTTTCTGTTTCCGTTTGCGGCAGCAGCAGATGATGACTATTATTATGAGCACTGTAACTCCAGCAATACAACCAGCAACAATTCCTATTGTGGCAAGATTCATAGAAGCTGTAAAAACAGAAATACGTGGAAATGAAATCAGTCAGAAGTCTTCTGAGGTCATTAAACTTTATACTGTTAAGATACTGGCATGCATCAAAATACCAGTAAACCCAAATTGTAAGCATGAAGGTCCAGCCTGAACCTAACCATCAGAGAGGTCCGTAAAACAGAAATTAGATTATACGATTTCACCTGAATTAGCCATCATTTCACTCACCAAAACATATAATAGTCATGAATTTTCATGTGTGTTGGAATAACATAAACTGTTGAGTGTGTACACTGTAAATCAGGTCAACTGTCATGCTGACATTAAGCTATAGAGGGGAAGTCGTGGCCTAATGGTTAGAGAGTCGGACTCGTAACCCAAATGTTGTGGGTTCGAGTCTCGTACCGGCAGGGATTGTAGGTGGGGGGAGTGAATGTACAGCGCTCTCTCCCACCTTCAGTACCACGACTGAGGTGCCCTTGAGCAAGGCACCGAACCCCCAACTGCTCCCTGGGCGCCGCAGCAAAAATGGCTGCCCACTGCTCCGGGTGTGTGTTCACGGTGTGTGTGTGTTCACTGCTGTGTGTGTGCACTTTGGATGGGATAAATGCAGAGCACTAATTCTGAGTATGGGTCACCACACTTGGCATCACATCACTATAGCATCAAGATCTTTAATATCAATACATGGTAAAATAACTGGTAATCTGAATCCAATAAATCTAAAAGGTAAACCACCTTATCACCTTAAAAAGAAAGAAAAAAAGGCAAATGTGGCGATACTCACGCGGCATTACAGACAATGTCATGTTACATTTGGCTGATCCGACCTTATTGGTTGACAGGCAAATATAGTAACCTGATGTCTCCATGGATACATTGACCAGAGACAGAACTCCATCCTCTGTTACACAAAATAATGTTTAAACTATAGCATAGAGAGACAAAATATGTAATTACGCTAGTTCATTGAAGGAGAGAACTTACTTTCTGTGGTTTTGATAGGAAATGCTCGAGGGGCATTTTTGACATCATATCTCTCCCATTTGTATGTCGGTGTAGGCGAGCCCTCCTCAGAGACACAGGTTAGGCTAATATTGTGTCCGTATTCTGCTGTGCCTACTACCTTACAACTGGGTTGTGATGGTGCAACTGTAAAAAAAATGTAGATATTCATTCAACATTTGAGAAGGATTCTACTCACCATGTAAAGATATATGGACTTTTCCTTTGAGACAAAGTGCCAGAGATCTTACCCTGAACCAAAAGAAAAGTAGTGTCAGCTGTTTTGCCTTCAATGTCTCCAGGAATCTGAACAAAACATCTAATTCTTCTGCTTTCTTGAATAGTGACTTGTTTTAGTGTCAATTTCGACGTTTTTGCAGTAAGGTCAGTTTCTATGAAGGCTTTGCCTTGATAGTCCGATCCAATGTCTACTTTACCATAGGAGTAATAGTTACCAAAAAGGACCTATGAGGCCAAAACAGAGAACCATTTAATTGCTCCATTGTAATAGTTTTTTCATTATTACACAGTTATTGTTTTTACACTAATCATGGATAGTGGTGTTTTGGTAGACAGTTGAAGTTTTTCTGGCTTACCTTCTCTTTAGATGTCTCATCAGGATCACCAATCCATGTTATAATTATAAGGTCATTTACTTGATTTTTAGGTTTAAAATTACATGTAAGGGTGACATCATCACCCCTGGCAACCTCCATGGTATCTTGACTCATCGTCACTTCCAGTCCAAAACTAGCCGACATCACTATGAGGCAAAGAGAGAGAACCTTGTGAATATCAAACAATGTCATACAATTTATTAATATATATTTTTTTCAAAATGCAAAATTCAAAATGCTGAATAATTTTTAAAATGCAGAATTTTGTAATATTTCACAAAGCTTTAAAAACATGAAACAGACTTTTAAAAAGATTTTAAGATAAAAGAAAAATTCCTTTCTACATTTTAAAAAGTTCTCACAAATCTTAGTTTATCAGTAAACTTGGTGTGGTTACACATTCTGCTAAAATATGAATTTATTAATAATATAATTTATTCAATTATTTAATATTAATTCATTATAGTATTTAAGAATGCATAAGTCGACCTTATTTGTAAACTGTCTGCTGATGCTGTGTATTGTCTATGTAAATGAATGAATGAAACAAGTTGCTGAAAAAAAATCCACCATTTTGTAGCCCTTGTGAAAACATTAATACTTAAAAAGATATCCTTTAATAAATATCACATGTAGAACAACTGAAAAGAAAACAAATCGCTGTTGTGACCCACACTATTTTATCTGACATTTTGATTTGATCTTGATTCTTGACTGCTGTACTCAATGTGAACGTCAGGAAACCGACCACCTCACCTGATATTAAATATAGGCAGCAAAAATTCAGCTTCCAGTTGGTCATTTTGTCGTTTTTCAATCACACTGCAATAGATGGTGGTCTGCAGGTAGATTTTCATATAGATTTTTCATATATCCTTATCTCTTGGCTTCCTGTGTGCTCACCGAAACGGTTTTGCTTCTTCGCCTGTGTCTACCACACCTTTATTGCACTTTATTCTCTTCCTCAAAGTTTTACAAGTTAGGTTCTAAACAAAATGGCAGATGTGATGTCATGACAGTCACATTAGTACAGATTGGGAGTCATTGCTCGAAAGTGAACTGGCATGCAAGGGAAAGGGGATGTTTACATAACAGTAAGGGACATTAAATATGTTACAGTTCTGAACCTCCCTGCATTTTATTCAGGATGACTTGCATACAATGTCACTTGATAAAGCATAAGGTTTACATACACATGCTTTGCTATGTGATTGTTCAAGTAATATTAAAAAAAGATTTTAATGTTAATGTCTTTGAATAACCAATCTAATGTTGTTAACCCCAAACAAACTGGGTGTGCGTTCCAGCTGTGGTGCATTGCCACACAAGACCAGCAGATGGTAGTGTAGGAGACATAATTGAAATTACAGGCACTTTGTGAACAGATCATTTTTCCATTTGGCAAAGAACTATTCATCTTTACCAGACAGCATGCTCACTAAAATCTCAGCTTCTATTTACTGCTCAGCTGTGCTAGTTAACAGACTTGCTCTCACTCTTTCCATATAAGACATTAAATATGTTACAGTTCTGAACCTCCCTGCATTTTATTCAGGATGACTTGCATACAATGTCACTTGATAAAGCATAAGGTTTACATACACATGCTTTGCTATGTGATTGTTCAAGTAATATTAAAAAAAGATTTTAATGTTAATGTCTTTGAATAACCAATCTAATGTTGTTAACCCCAAACAAACTGGGTGTGCGTTCCAGCTGTGGTGCATTGCCACACAAGACCAGCAGATGGTAGTGTAGGAGACATAATTGAAATTACAGGCACTTTGTGAACAGATCATTTTTCCATTTGGCAAAGAACTATTCATCTTTACCAGACAGCATGCTCACTAAAATCTCAGCTTCTATTTACTGCTCAGCTGTGCTAGTTAACAGACTTGCTCTCACTCTTTCCATATAGGCTATTCATTTAAGCCCTTTTATTGTTTTCGAGTCATTTTAGTCAGATTTCAGTAAAGAATATACCATTAATATCATTTTTTGGTAACGCAATCAAGATTTGTAACATTGTCAAAAATACCTAAATAGACTTTTTTTTTTGTAAATATAAATGTGCTTTTATAAAAGAAGTGTTTTTTTTAAATAATAAATAAAGTGTTTACTTCAGTGCTGTTTTACAGTCATATTTGACCTGTAAGTAAAGAAGCAGTCATGACATTTTGGTCTTTCAGTATGTCATACAGCTTTATTTATTATTACTTTATTGTATTATTTTATTACATATTAACTTGTAGCAAGATGTTATTTTACAAACAGTTGAATAATAATTTTTTATTTTATAAAATATGAGATATGTGGTTAAAATTGTGTTAAAAGGTGATTAAAATTAATTTGGAAAAGGGACACTTAAAACACATGACAAAATATAATATAACAATGTATGATTGTCTTGAATGCAAATTAAATGTATGTATCATCAGCCACTGAACCGTTGTAATGTCTGCATTAACGTGATGCAAACGTATTTTGCCTACAGAGACAAGCCAAATGCATTTGAAATGACCTTCGGCTGTGGTAATATAGACCACCCATTCATTTCTTTTCTTTCTTTTTTTTGTTAATTTTTAATTTCAGTAAATTTCCATATGACTTCCTTTTTTTGCATATGACCAATAACGCATGCAAGGTCTACATGTGTCCAAAGTCAAAGTGTATTTAAAAGTTGAAAGTGTAATTATGGTTTAGGATCAATGTCAGCGTCTCCTTCGGAGGTGGTCGTGGGCGAGTTCAGACGCACTGATGGGAACTCTCAGATCTGCCATGCTGATGCTGTGAGTGAGTGCATCGGTGAGCCTCTGTATTGTGTTTTGAGGATTTGGCCTTAAATATTCAAAATGGCGGACGGAGGCGCAGCGAGTCAAGATGAGAGTTCAGGACCAGGTAATCATTACTGCATTTTACATATTCATATTCATATTCAAACACTCTTTCTCTCAACCCAGAAAAGCGCGGTAGGGAAAGTGTAAACAAAATACTCAAACCCAACGTTGCAATCATATGCACCCTTTAAATAAACGTATCGGGAATAATTCTCTGTCTGTGCGACGGTGAAACTGGCGATGCAGTGCGACGGCAAATTAAAGGAAAAATGCCTCCTTTGTGTGATTAGAGCAGCCGCGTTACATATGCATACCGCCGCCAAGAAATCGCCGCTTTGCATATTTTATTAGTCATAATCGGCGACAGCTCGCGGGGTTTTGCACTGTCCCCGGTCAGAGGTTGTTCGAATTTTGCAGTTAATCATAACTAAAGGCTGCTGTGTGCATGCTAAGCGGCTAATGCTACTCCGGCGGCTTTGTGTTGCTGTATTGCGCCGTGAGCCAATCCCACATATAAAGCTTTGAATATTCATTCGCTCACAATCAGCCGGCGTCTGCGCAACGTGTTTACAGTGAAAATATGAAAGAGCAGAACAGCTGGGGCTTGCTTGGTGTACAGTTAGGACACGGCATGACTTTTTTTAATGCCTATTCTCTTGCCTTTTGTGCCCGTTGCAGGCGTGTAGCCCTGTTATGTTATTCATGTGGGCCTTCTAGAGCTCAGAATGCGCTGTTCAGCATATTCTATCAGAATGAATCCATTTCATTGTAGAAGGATGGTGGAACGTGCCAAAATGGAACTCTGAATGCAGTTTATACAACGTCTCCAGTGCAGTTGTTACAAATTGATACTTTGTAGCACAGCCAGTGTTTCTGTAACATTGTATTGGCGTGTCTGCTCAAGGAGATGCATGCAGGCATTATGCCAGCTTTATTTGCTAGTCTAATAGGTGATCCTCATATAGAGCACACTCAGATTCTCCATTATTATTCCAGAAGCTGTATGCTTGAGTATTTAGTCATTTTACTGTGTTTCATCATCCTTGAACAGCCAAAAAAGTCGGTTTTGCTATTTTATTCTCTTGTGACAAATAGGCTTTAGTTATCTAGTTATCATACTGCTTACAGTCATTAATATAACTCTGTCTTGTATCTATGTTCAAATCACAGATATTCAGATCTACAAGTAATCACTGTCAAGCTGATATTCAGTACTAATTCATGATTGTTAGTTTTATTCGTTTAGTGTTTTTCACAGTACTTTACAGAACAGCTTTACAGAAATTCTAATGTTAATGTTTGCCTTATAGTCCACATTTGGCAGTTTAAAGCTTTCTTTATGCTAAATATTGTTTTATATGGGTGAAGATATATGTATAACAATTTATATTTTTATGTATAACAGGTTGTAATTTATTTTGTGGTTACACTGAGGATTATGAAATCTGAAAAGTTTTGGATTCTGTTTATAAAATTTTGGTGTAGTGATAACCTAATTACTAATAGGTCTATCACTGCTATGATTAAAATTATGCCAGGATTATTTTAGTGTTGATTTTCTCTTATAATATTTCTAATGTTTTGAATAAACTCTTATTTTTTGTATTCAAAATTTTTGTAATTTTTTTTGTTATGTGCTTTTGTAGTTTTTATTAGTTTTGATCATTTATAGAGCTACATTAATTTATTTGTTTGAGTAATTTAATACTTAAACTTATTTATTTCAGTTAGTTGTCAAGGTAGCATTTCTATTTCTAATTTAAATTTTTTTTTTTTTCAGCTTAATTTCATTTATTTCATTTAACGTTTTAGTTAACAGTAACAACATGACGCATATCTGGGTGAAAGATTTTGGTCATGTTGGCCACCCTGTAATACTGCTTTTATACAGTAGTTCCCATAATTAATTTAGAGTATCTTACATTTAAGGCAAAACAATGTCTTCGCTCATCAAATTAGAAGACAATAGCTAGCTGTTGAAAAATGATATCATAAAACTTATGTCACCCATGTCTTACTACAAGAGAAACTTGGGGAAATTTACCAAGTTTTTTTTTTTTTTTAAATCTGCTTTGAAATCTTTTGTATCAGCCTTCTCTCATTTAACATGAATTATCTGACTACATCAGATTTATTTGTAATTTACAGATTTGTTTGTAAATTTAAATTATCATGTAATCGTTTGGCTTTTGATGTGTCATGAAGGAGTCCGGTGTAACAGATGCTAATTTTAAACTGATAACATTTTCACTGTGTGTAGGGCCTAGAGAGACAATGACGTGCTGAAACTTGTTTGTTTCCTGTATCCACAGCTCACACCTATAGTGTAAATTACCTGCATGAATCCTTACTTTTATTTTTGTAGTAACTGACACTTTTCAAACATAGTAGTGAAACTTCATGGCATTTTGCCTCTCTCTTTGACCATCTGTCTGTATTTTTTTTCTTTTCTTTTTTTTGCATTTTTCTTCATGCTCTGCTGATGTGAACATGTAGAAACAGTCCCTGCAGGCTAACAGTCTATTAATTAAAATGATTATAGACCTAAAATCAAGTGAGAGCTTGTGGTTTTTGCCTGCCTTTAAAAATGATAGAACAATCCTCTTTGTGCTTCTGTGTGGCAGATTGGAGTGACTTCATATTGTTTTCTCTGAAACTCTGAGTCTGAAACTCAAATTTAATGTTTTCAAATGCATAATTTGAATATGAATTATGTGTTCCTGCTTGCTCATAATGAAATATTGAAATTATTTTGTCCTTAGCGCTGAATTTATTATTAATGCTGTTTAAAAAGGATAATATTTGCATTAAATTGAGAAATATTTTCTGCTAATTTGAATATTCCTCTCCAGGTTAGTTTTACCATTTAACTAAATTCTTGCATGGTTTTCACGCAAGTTTGCCTTTGGATAAGAAGTTGTTTGGTAAATTTAAAAAAAACAGATATAAGCTATGAAAGTAGGCTTTTTTGGGGGGATTATGCTAGTCTTGGTAGTTTTATAATCCTGCTTTTGTTTGGAAGCTTTTGTCTGAAAAAGTATTTTAAGTGTCAGCAATACATCCTTTTGGATAGGCTGATTTCTTTATGCTTACTCTGTCAGATCTTTGTTCTAATATGTAAATCTCTGTTGTAATTAGGCCAAGATCTGAAAATATCAGTTAATGAGGTGCACAGTTAATCTGGATATGCAAAGCAGACTTCATGTTCCTTTCCAGACAATACGGCTACAGAAGTCACAGAATTTGATCCGTGAAGTGTTTGGGCCACATGGGGCTGTGTGAATAGGATGGTGGAGAATGGCAAGTAATTTACTTCCTGAACAGCTCCATCCGCAACCTCTGGTGCTTAAGAAATGCTTCTAAACGCAACCTGCTGTCTTTATGTCCAGATACAGACCTCACCGTTTTAAGCGCTTTGATTGCATTGACAGAAAGCTCACCTGTTTCACCTAATTTAACCAGCACGCCGTAGGTAATTGGGTTTGTGCATTCACACTCTGGATTTTTTTTCCAGTCCTCCTTTTTCCCTCCAAAGCGATCCAATTAATATGCTAATGAGATGATAAATATTTATGAACATTTAAATTATGGAGAAAGCTCTCAGAGCGCCGTGCGAAATGAATTGCTTGCAGGACTTCAAAGTGTTGCTCGGATAATGAAGTGAGGGAGATTTGCATATGGCTTTAATCAGCTGCATACTGATTATGCTTTATTACGGCACTGGCAGCCGCTTCGCTTCTGTTCCGTTCCAGAATGAAAATGAACTTCTTCACACTCTAGTTGTTATGACAATCGTGGCACAGAGAGAGCGAGAGAGAGAGCAAAGCAAGCAAGCAAGCAAGCCGGAGAGACTGAGAGAAAGGCTGCCACGGTTTCAGTGAAGCTTCGCTGTGCTCTGGACGTGTGTTGTTTTTCCACTCTAAACCATTTAGTTACACAGAAGACTTTGCTTCTGAGGGTTGTCTGCGAAGGGGGTGCTAAGTTTGTTGTGATGCTCGTAGAGACTCTTTACAAGGCAGATGCAGCAGCTGCTGGTGAGCGATGTCTGCAGTCAGCAACAACATTTTAAGATCTGTTTTCATATCATATAGTGATGCTGTGCTATCTGGAGTTGGGTAGTCACCATGTTTGGTTTGGTAATTTACTCCATTCAGTTTTTTCATTTTCTCATATTAAAACATCGAGACGTTCTGTGTAGTCAATAACAGGTTAAGTAGGAATATTTTTGAAGTGTTCGGTTGAAAAAATATTGGGTCATATGGTTTGAAATCAAAAATGGGAATGGATTTATTTTTTTTAAATACTGTCTCACTTTTGGAAGTCACTGAACGATTGGTCTTTGAAGAGAAACTGAAAGTCCGACCTTCTTCTGTCTGCTCCAGATTCTAGAATGAGTAATCCATCGGAAACAAGTAAATGTGCAATGGAGAGCGGGGACGAAAACCCTGGTGAGTTACCCAAGGAACCTTTGGCTCTTTAGAGACTCGCATCTTATGTATTTTCTCCAATAGTCTGCTCAGATCTTTTGCCTTGATCTTTCTAACACTGCTTTCTTTTACATTTGCGTGAGCGAAAGACTATCAGTTCACAATTTTATGTTGTAAAGGGTCACTTGTGCAGTTTTGACTCGGGTTGAACATGTAGAACAACGTATCTCAATATGTGTCGCTGAACTTTTTTTTAAAAGTTTGAAATAAGAAAGGCCATGGAGCTGAATAACTTGGTTTAAAATACCTTTTTGTATGGCTCTGATCTATTGTGGCATTGACTGCTTTTCTTCTTCCAGGTGCCCAAACAAATGGACTGGACTTTCACAGGCAGACTGTGCAAACAACAAGCGCAATCACCAACGCACACGCACAGGCCTTGCTCCAACAGGTATAATCTTTTTCTCTGAGCTCACACACACTTTGTGGTCTGTGACATGGATGAAAGAGCTATAGGAATTTGAAGATGTCCCCAGGGCCCCTGTCTGAGTCACTAAACTGCCACTGTCTTGACCTGTGTGTGTGATTATCATGTTTCAGAGTGACTGCTGAGGCTTTCCACCTGATGTCATGCATTGCTGTGTCTATTTTGAAAACTATGTATGAGATTTGTCGTAACTCTGAAGATTAGAGATTTAAAGCACAACATGCTATCTCTCGGTTACAGGGGAAATTATTGGGCCCCCATATGCTAATTAGCTGCTCTGCAGTTGCTCGGAAACAGATGGTTGAGAATATGCAAATCTATGCAGAATTTACATGTACTGCATAACAGTTTCGTTAATTAGCATACCCGCTTTGCTCTCCGCTTGAGTCCAGGGTAAAGCTTTGTGAATAACAGGTTAATTTCCACCTTGAGAATTTTATGGAAATGGGCCTATAGTGACAAATGTGGTCATTAGACATTAAATGAATTCCTCTCTTTGTTTCTTTGTCTCGCTCTCTTTTTTTCAAGTTGACTTTTACTCCAGCGCAGCAGCAGTTATTGCTGCAGCAGGCTCAGGCTCAGCTCTTAGCAGCAGTGGTGCAGCATTCAGCCAGCCAGCAGAGCAACACTACAGGAGCCAGCATCTCTGCCTCTGCTGCCACCCCCATCACCCAGATTCCCCTCTCCCAACACATCCAGATCTCACCTGTAAGAGAGCCACGGTTTCATTCATCCGAGTCTCTGAAATGGCCTTGTTTTATTTAATTCTATAACATTTTACATTTTAAATGTAAGATAACATTTCATTTTTAAATTTTGAAGTAAATTATCATCCAGTGGTTTAATGGTGTTGTTTATGCCTAGAACTGAATTTTCTAGTCCTGTTCTTTTCATTGTAGCAGCACTATTCAATATGATGTTGATCTTTCAATATGATGTCATTTGAATAAATTGTTTCTGTAAATGCAAAACAAATGGATTACAGATATTAGCGAAAGTAAAAAAAAAAAAAAAAAAGAGTAATTGCTTTATTCATTTTATTACATTTGATACATGTAATTGCTAATAAATAATTCAAACTAATTGTAAATCAATTGTAGAGCTAAAAAAAAACAAGGATTTTTTATAAAAACTTTTTTAATTTATTTTAATTTTTAACTTTTTTTTTATTTTTTTGCCCTGGCAGTATTGTCACTTGCCCTCAGGATGTCTCAAGTGACAGAAGCGACGTGTATTTTTAATTAACATTAATATTTAGGCAAATTAAAAGGGATTTTGTTCTCCAGGCCCTTCAGCTATTTATACGAAGGAAGCTGCATCTGAACTGAATGGAGAATCAAAGTATCCAAAATGAAATTGTTAAATCAATTTTAAAAAATGGGTGCACGCTTTTAAATTCGCAAAGAGGAGGCATTTCCACCAGGATCCAAATTGCAGAAAACACTATCATACCTAAATATTTTACTTTTGCTGGTTATGGCAAAAGCAACATTTATTTTTCAAACAAAATCTAAAACGTCCTTACTGTTGAACACCACTCATTTTAATTGGTGAGGTTGTCATGGCAGTCATAGCTTAACTGGTGCACTTGGTATAGTGACACATACTAATGTTCTTCTCACTCTGTGTTTGTATGGAACAATACAGCAGTTACAGCAGCTGCAACAGCAGCAGAACCTCAACCTGCAGCAGTTTGTGCTGGTCCAGCCGGGCCACCCAATCGCAACACAGCTGCAGCCCGCGCAGTTCATCATCTCGCAGACACCACAGGGCCAGCACAGTGAGTCCCATGTCATTTTAACCTTCTCGGATCTCTCCATCCCTCCATGTGGTCAGCCTATCTGATTGTTTTGTCTTTCCTCTTACTCTAACCAGGTCTCCTGCAGGCCCAGAACCTTCTAACTCAACTACCTCAAAGCCAAGCCAACCTCCTGCAGACTCAACCAAGCATCACACTTGCCACACAGGTCAGGGGCATCCCATTCACCCACTGGATCCATTTTTATTAGTGCTGTCAATCAAAAAAAAAATTTAATTAATCGCACATTTGTTTCTGAAATTAATTGCTAATAATCCCACCTAGCATTAAAGTTTTTAAATATGCTTTTATATTGCAATAATTTCACAGTCAATCTTCAAATTAATGTAGAAACAACATAAAGACAGTATATTTTTAATATTTGTTTAATGGCAGCTTTTTATGACTGAAGGAGCAGTATGACTGAAGGACTCAGTTTGCCACTGATACCAATACTGCTGATGTCTATGAAATTTTTTTTTCATCACAGCAGCTGGGTTATTAGGTTAGTTTGGCTGCTTTAAGAGCTGCAGCTGCTGAACATGACGTGGATCTGACACGCATCGTATTTTCTCACAACTCTTTACCTTTTCTGACTCAGTTCAGGTCTCTACTAATGAGCTGACGAGTTGAATCGGTTGTGTTAGATGAGGGAGACCGTCCTGGGCTGCTCCAGGACAGTTTTTTAAACCACTGCATTTCAGAGACATGTTCTTAAATGCGACTCATATATAACAAATACTTACATACATGCACAGTTTTAAGGCAGCTTTAATCGCCTTTTTGTTAACTTGATGACTTTACTGACGACATAACTATGACATTGCATGCTTGTAGGTTCTTTCGCGCTTTAATATGAAATGATACAGGCTACAGCGTGCGCTGCCACATTTGTGCGTGCATTTGAAAAGCATGTGCTACAAGCACAGTGTAACGGCTGACAGGACAGGAAAATTAGTTTTTACTGACATATACGGCCTGACAACTCCTCTGACCACAGTTCACTGTTGTTCTACTGAAGCTCCCTCATCACCTGCACCTTTTCCGTGCTCGTTTGAATAGCGCTTGGCTATGAGGCGAAGTCGGAGTGCACGTCTGAAAAGTCTCCCGTTTGATGTGGTCGTAAAGATGTTCTGCGTCTAAATAAATGAAATTCTTGTCAAGAAAAAAAAAAGACAGACGCAGCAGTTGTGAGTGGGGTGGCCAACCCTAGCTCCGCCCCTTCATTAAAGAGGAGAAACAATAATGTACAGTATGTGGAAAATAATGTGTTTTTTTAACTTTAAACCGCATAAACACATTTCATTACACCAAATACACAAAATAATGTTCTTTTTAGCAGCATCATATGACCCTTTTAAGTATTTTTAACGCGTTAAACTGAAAAAATTAATCGCCTGCATTAACGTGTTAATTTTGACAGCACTAATTTTTATACATGATCTAGATTGTAGAAAAAAAATTTTTTTTAAACTTCTACAAAAGAGTGGATTTGCATACATTCCAAAACCGGTGCTAATGCAACTGCTGAAAGTGTTTATAGATTGCAAACAGCGCTGACTACAGTTTCTTGTTGTTTTTGTGATTTTAAGAAGTTAAAACCACTATTATTTATTCCAAGTGCACTACCGTTCAAAAGTTTGGAGTCAGTATGTTTTTTTTTCCTGTTCTTGAAAGTCTTTTATGCTCACCAAGGCTGCATTTAGTTACTCAAAAATACACTGAGACTGTGAAATATTATTACAGTTAAAATAACAGTTTTTCTATTTTTACGTTTTAAAATCAGATTTATTCCTCTGATGGCAAAGCTCAATTTTCAGCAGTCTTAAAGGGTTAGTTCACCCAAAAATGAAAATTCTGTCATTAATTACTCACCCTCGTGTTGTTCGAAACCCATAAGACCTTCGTTCATCTTCTGAACACAATTTAAGATATTTTTGATTAAATCTGAGGGCTCTCTGGTCCTCCCATAGACAGCAAGGTAACTACCATGTTCAAGGTCCAGAAAAGTACCAAGATGATCGATAAAGTAGTCCGTGTGACATCAGTGGTTCAACTGTAAAGTTCCGAAGCTACGAGAATACTTTTTTTGCGCAAAGAAAACAAAAATAACGACTTAATTCCACATTTTCGTCTCTACAGCGTCACATTGGACGCGCGTTCACGACAGTATCTTGACGCGAGCGTGTGGCGGCGCTGACCCAGATCCGGCGTAATGACGTCATCATGCCGGATCTGGGTCAGCGCCGGCGCCACCACACGCTCGTGAACGCGCATCCAAAGTGACGCGCAGTAGAGACTAAATATTTTTATTTGGTGCTGAAGAAACATTTTTTCATAATGTCATTGTGAAAAACAGTTGTGCTGATGAATATGTTTGTGCACACCATGATACATTCCTCAGAATTCTTTGACGAATAGAAAGTTCAAAAGAACAGCATTTATTTGAAATCTACATCTTTTGTAGCATTATAAATGTTGTACTGTCACTTCTGATATATATAATGCATCCTTGCTGAATAAAAGTATTATTCTTTAAAAAAATTACTGACGCCAAACTTTTAAATGGTAGCGCATATGCGCAAAAAAAAAGTTCACAAAACAGTTCATACTAAATTTTCAGTTGGACCGTTCCAGTTTTCACATTTGTTTCTTTAAAAAAAGAAATCTTTCAGCCATTCTTGTTTATCTCCATAATTTTCTCCTTGCACTTCACAGCCTGCTACACCCACACGCACAATAGCCGTGACCCCCATCCAATCCCTTCCTCACAGCCAGACGACACCAAAGCACATCGACACACCCAGCCTGGAGGAGCCCAGCGACCTGGAGGAGCTAGAGCAGTTTGCCAAGACCTTCAAACAGAGACGTATCAAACTGGGCTTCACGCAGGTAAACGGGGTTTCACTGGTCTCACAGTTTGCGTGTTGTTGCGTGCTGTTGTTGATTTCAGTGTTAAAAAGTCTCTGATGGTGTTTAATCATCCAGGTCATGATAGAATGTGAGAGAGAGTTCATTTGTGACTTCTAATTATTTGAAGACAATTCACCTTCAGTTGAGACTCATTACGTGACTCTGCCTGACATTTTCAGAGTTTAAAACTTCTTTCATGCTATTGTTTTTCATGTACCAGGGGGATGTTGGTCTTGCCATGGGAAAACTTTATGGAAATGACTTCAGCCAGACCACCATTTCTCGCTTTGAGGCCTTGAACCTGAGCTTTAAAAACATGTGCAAACTGAAGCCTCTGCTTGAAAAATGGCTCAATGATGCAGGTATGTATTTTCTCTGCTCTGAGCCATTTCTCACCTTTACCTTCCTCCCTCAAAATAACATTTTATATCATGAAGAATGTTAGAAAGGATATGAAGATTCCTGTCGCATTCCTCTTTAGTTTTGGAGTTTCTATCAGGGTTCTGCAGGTCTCTGCTCTCTTTTCTGTATGTGTAGAGTGGGTGTTTTTTTATATAAAGAAAATCTTTGACTTAAGTTATGTTGCTAAGTAGTACAGCTGATGCTCTGAGGCACATCTGCAGTGCTGTTTGGCACAGGTGCTTATATCACTCCTTCTTTGTGCTTTTGTGCGCGCTGTTTGTGCAGAGAACCAGACGTCTGACCAGGCCCTGTCCAGTCCCAGCTCTCTTGGCTCACCTGGGCTGGGCTTGGAGGGTTTGAACCGCCGCCGCAAGAAGAGGACCAGCATTGAGACCAACATCAGAGTGGCCTTAGAAAAGAGCTTTCTGGAGGTGAGCGACATCTCACATCGGAGCTTATTTGATGAGCCATTATTAACGTTTTACTGGCGCAAAATCTTCCATTTGTTTTTAGTGACAATGTGATGGAAATATCAAATAAATGTAAAATTAGTGTTTATTAATAATACAATTAATATTTTTTGTAATTCAGTGTATTCATTTTTATTAAATATTATTAATATTAATATTTTCTGTCATTTATACACAGATTTATATTTTATTATTATTAATTACTTTATTATTTAAAAATAATTAATTTTTGCATTATTAATATTAATTAAGTTTTTTATAAACGTATTTAAAATATTATTATTATTAATATTATTCAAATATTTATTTTTATAATACATTTTTTAT